GTGGAAAAGTTCACCAAGTGGAGCACAAGCTTTGTGATAAGGTCCTCTTGATGTCTCACCCTTCAGCATCAAGAATTCATTTGCAGCCATGGCTAGGTTTCTTATATTAAGCCTCATATCTCTGTCGAGCCTCATGGTTCTCTGTAACAGCTAGGGCTAATTTCATCATTGTTATTCTGAAGTGAGCCTCTTGAACGAGGAGCCAACAACGTGAGATGTGTTCCGCACCAGGTTCTTATTGATCATTCTCATTGCGACACTATGATCAAATTCAAGTCAAGGACTCATTCCCATCCTTATCAAATTGAATGGGGAAAGACTTCCTTTCCTAGGGGATGTCTGAATCGGCCAATATGGCACTTAGATGAATGTGGTCATTAAAGGCCTTATGTGTGCTTGTAATAAATATTTTTGATATAATGGAATATGAACTCAGTGGGATTGTGGTCATGTGTGGATCATACTAAGCAAATGATGTTTGCTGATACTGAACTGAACTTGACGAGGTAAGCCAGTCAGTTGGGAAAAACATATGTTACCTCTAGGCATAGAAAATTATCCGATAAATGTTCTAATAGGTCATCCCTTAATGAGGTCAGAGTATGCACGGATGAGTGAGCCAAGGGACTGTGTGACTCTTGTGTATGATGGTGGCCTTCAGATATGGGAGCACAGCCTCATTCGCAAGCCATGACATGGCATGCATATATGATTGTCCTTTTCAAGAAAGCGAACCATCTTTCAGGGTGAAGTTTATGAATATGCGAGAGATACCTCTATGCGCCATAGGAGCTGTGGTCGCATCAGGTCAAAGTGACCTTAGTATGTCTCTAGGGGAGAACCTGAAATCCAAAAATTGTGATTATGACCCATTGGCTCACTGCCCAGACTTTGGTGACCCACTAATGAGGCCTTGCATAGACTGTGGGTCATGGGAAATACTAGGTCGGTTTGATAAAGCAAGTGTGAACCGTAGTCCACAGTTGATGGTGAAGTGCCCCAATGTTTATTTGTTTAATTCTTAGACCATATGGATCTTTTTTCCATCTAATAAATTTAATTGTGTGAGTTTTAATGATATGTGATTTTTAGAATTGTTGTTTGAATTTTTCTAAATCTCTGGATATTTTATTTATCAAAATTGGATTTTTAAAAAGAGAGATAGTGATTTTAGATTGACTTAAACATTCAACTTTGATTTCATGGATTTCTAAAAATCATATTATTAATTTTAATAATTTTAACATTGCATGAGAATCCCAATATGTTAATGGGCTCCATTGCATGTGGATGGGGCCTATGAAGTACCACTTAGGGTGGCACGCCCCCTAATAAGACTTTCCTTGTGTTAGTTCAAGCTTTGGGTTGAAGAGAAAGCTTTGAAGTGTTTTGGAAAAAAATTTCATTGAGGAAGCTTTCAAAGGATTTTTGGAAAGCATGATAAGGCTTGTGCATAATTTTGATAAGCACTATATTATGAATGCAATTATTTTATTTAATTTCTATTGATTAGAAATGATTTGGGAATAAGGATAAGGTTCTAGCACCTTCTATGATGTTGATGGCCCATCTATAGAATTGAGAGTTCAAATCTCTCACTCCACAAGTTACCCAAGATCAATGGTTCATATTTAATCTCACAAGAAGAGGCAAATCAAGAAAAACCCTAAAGAACACTAATCTTGTTCAAGCACTATAAAAAAGGATTGATCCCTACCCAAATCTATACACCTTATCTTTTACACCTAATTTCCATCTTTTTCTCTTATATCCCACAATGGAGGCATGCTTCACTTAGAATATCTCTCTCAAGAAAGTTTATCTCTCTCTCTCAAGAGACCCAAAGGGGCAGGTCCCACTTTCTCATCTTTGATATCTCTCTCATGAAGGCTCTCTCAACCCTCTCATGATTTCTCATCTTTCATTAGGGTTTTAGACTATAGGGTTGTAGAAGAAAAAAGAAGCATATCTCTCTCAAACTAGGTTGATAAGGAGATTCACCTAAGGATTTGAGATTTGTAATAGAAGAGTTCATAATTCCATTAGAGGGTTTTGGTCTTTACTTTCCCTGTTTGAGATTAAGGTTAATCATTGATCCAGCACCATCGAATGGTGGTGACTCGGTGCGGGGTATAAAAAGGTCGAGGCAATCTTTGGCACTCTCTTTTGTTTCTTACCATATTTAATTATATAGTCTTTATATTCTCAAGCATAAGAATTGTGGTTATTTTATTTGATTAAAAAAAATTGGTTTAGTGACATCAAGGTTTTTAAGATCTTGAATTTGTTAGTTTTATTTTCTTTGAAGCAAGAGTTATTGTAATAAGTGATATGTTTCCCAAAGAAAAGAAAAGGGGTGAAAAAAAAGAGAAATATATATATATATATATATATATATATATATATATATATATATCTCTCTACTATACTACTACTACTTTACGTTACCTTACTTTACTAACTACGTACGTACGTACGGTACGTACGACGTACGTACGTACGGTACG